TGTTCATTTGAATATGTTAGGGGAAATAACAGACAAAATAATTAATATACGTACCTTCGATTTTTACTATATAACCTCTTAAACTGATACATAAAAGTCAATAATGAGAGCGAGTGACAGAGTTAGAAACAGTTAGAAAAGGAAAAACTTTGAAAGAGAGAGACAGCTACTGTTTGTCGATGAGATCATCATGCTCTCCCCTTCCTTCATCGCCTCTCGCCGCCAAGTGGTTTCTAGCTCCCCCCTTACTTCATCGTCCCTCGCCAACAACCGGTTTGCCTGAGGTAACCTTCTCTCTATAGATCTTGGCAATAGTAACTCAAAGTGGAACCTAAGGTCTGTTCTTTATAGGCTGCGTTCCGTAAAGCACATATGCGCGCATGTATCTATAGTATACGTAACGTATACTGTAGATACATGCGCGCATATGCTTTTTACGGAACGCAGCCATAGCTAAACAGGCTGCACTAGTTCTTAGTTTATCTTTGTCCCTCCATATTGGAAGGAGAAAGATAAACTCTGAACTAGTGCAGCCAATTCAGCTATAAAGAACAAATCTCCAGTAACTGCGGGATGGAACTTGTGACGTCATTAATCGCTCTCGGAGCGAGTATATATCTGTATCAGTCGAAAACGCTATAAGTTCTGTAAGTAACATATTCCTTGCAATCCGTGAGTTATTTCAACAGTTTTTAATTTTCTGAAACTGAAGAAGGAATTCTTAGAACACTTGGAAGTACGATCAAAGCAGCGATTCGCCGGCGAAGTTATCGCTCAGCGATCGTTCGCTCTTTTCTTGTTTTAGGTTATCTTGTTTCAACAAAGCTAGTAAGTTCTATTATATTTTAATTATAGAATTGCTTGCGCAAGGGAAAAAGATTACTTACTACTGCGATTACTTCTGCAAATCTTAGAAAATAAGGAATCTTAGGAAATAAAGAAAATTTTGCTTATTTATCACATTTTTTCAAAATTAACTTGAAAATTTTTTCTAAACTTTTAGTAAGATGGCGGATATATTTGCTTATTGTTTTCTTATGATATTATTGTACATTTAAAACGTTTAGAATAACATTGTAACTCAAAATTGAAATCTTAAACAACAAGAGAAACATCCCTATTATATTTAATTACGTTGATGTTTTAGATGAAATTTTTCTTGCTTTTAAGAAAGTAACATAAATCTTGAATTATAACATTGCTCTAGATTGAGATTGCATTAATTTTTTTAGACACAAGGTATGTTTCGGATACCGAAACCAACAATGCCTACTGCCACTACAACGACAATTACAAAACGTTCAAAACAAACACAAAGTTGCCGTTATTCATCCTATGAATGCACACAACCTTGTCTAGAAGGATATACATACTGTGCTAAGCATATTCTTGAAGATTTGAATGCACCTTACAAACAATGTGCTTTTATATATAATTCTAATGCAAAAAAATGTCGAAATCCTGCTCCCAAATTGGATAGGAGAGATGTTTCGTAAGTATATTTTGTTGTATCTTATAAAATATATGTTTGTTATTTTTTAAGAAAAGAATAATTATTGAATGTTTACAGATACTGCAGTGAACATTCCAGAAAAGCGCAAATTGCACGG